TTAGTGAGATGGTGGAGCGCTAGGGCTGGGTTCCAGCCAACAGAAGTACTGGCAAAGATAGCCCATCTGCTCCCCTGAACCCGGACTTTCCCTTCTGTGATGGTTTAGAAGTCGGGGTGAGTCACAGGGAAGAGTGAAAATACAGACTGGTGTGCCCCAAACAGAAGGCATGCCTTACAACCTCACAGGCTTGGACTCTTAATTAAAGCTATGGCGGGAAGGGTCTGTAATGTTGACTATCTCCTGAAAAACTTTTTTTAGAAGTTGAAAGCAGGTGAATCTCTTCAGTGACTGTCGGAGTTCAGACCACTCGGGAGAGAAAGTTGCTTTTCTCTTTGGAAAACAGACAAGTTTGACATGGTAAACACTAGTTATGAATAAGTAATAAAAACTCCTGGTGGGAAAGTACGTATCTAGTATTATATCCTCCTGTTCCAACTGCCAGAGCACATCTCTCTGATTTAATTTTAAATTTCATTAAAAGGACTGTTTCCTTAGCTTAAGCATTACTATCTGCAATAAAGTTTGTTCTGGTAGGCAATGCAAGGGAAACTTTTTATTGCTGACTGAAGAGTTAGATTGAAGATTGCTAACTCTGGAGTTTCATTCTTAAGAAAAAGAAGAAAAGGGTTTCAAGATTTTCATGACAAAGCAGTGAATTTCAAGCCTGGCACTTCCAGCGCTCAGTATAAACTTCCTAGCGTTCCATTTACCTTCATGATGGAAGCAGCACATGCGACTGCTGACACTGTCTAAGCAACAAGACTACCTGACAAGACACCCGAACATTCACGGGGCAGAGAAGCTTATGACTGGAGTCCTCACCTGCACCCCCAGCGGACCAGCTGGACGTCCCTGCACAGGGCACCTAGGGAAGGCCTCCCTGCGTGCTGGTCACGAGGCCCCGCGTCAGGATCCCCTGGGGAGGCTTCTTTCACTGTGGGGATATAGAAAGCTCACAAAGCTGTTGCTTCTACCCTTTAGATCATAAGGCAGGTAAGCCACCAGCTGCTTAAAAAAAAAACCCACCAGATTGCTGAGAGCAGAGACAGACCTAAATAAACTAAACTTTAAGGAGTCCTAGGTCCTTCCTGGGAGCAAAGAGACGCAGTATTCCTTTCATGCCTGGCAGAGGGGTGGCGGAGGGAGGAGCCCACCACTAATGAGGGCAGGGAGGAACCAGCAGAACTCTCGACACACTTTTGGTTGACTGTGTTTAGGCCGGTAAGACAAATCAGAAAACTGGAGAAGACCAGCCACAAACTGAGCTGCAGGTGCAGACTGCCCATCGCCTTGCACTGAGCGCGTGGTGCCAAAGGCTGAAGGCAGGCGGAGTTCCAAGAGACCCTTGGGGAGACTCCTATAGACGCTGAGAGGACGATAGGAGAGTGCTACGAGCGACTTCATGCAAGACATCCGACACACTGGGTGAAGCTGACCGGTCTCCAAAAAACACAACGTATCAAAACCGACAGAAGACAAAAGAGAAAGTCTAAGTAAACCTACGTGTCCATCAGAAACATTGTACGTAATCGTAATAAAAGTCCTCCCTCAAACAAACTCCCGGCCCGGATGACTCACTGGTGACTTCTAGCAAATGTTTTAGAAGAAACATTACCAATATTTCACACATTCTTTCAGCAAAAAAGAGGGTAGAACAATTTTCAACTTGTTTTATGAGGCCATCACAATCCTGATGCTAAGACATAAGAGAAATATTAAAAGAAAAGGAAAGACACTCCTAGGCCAATACCCCCCCTTGAACACACATGCAAAAATCCTTAATAAACTATTTAGCAAATCAAAACTAGCCACACGGATACATCATGACTAGGTGGGACGGACCCTTGCAGGGCAACACTGGTTTCCCACTCGAAAGTCCAGCAGTGAAACTCACAACACGAACACAATAAAGGGAACAGCTATATATGACTTTCTCAATAGACGGAGGAAGAAATATTTGACAAAATTCACGTCCACTCATAAAAGAAAAAAATAACCTATCAGCAAACTAGAGGTTGAAAGGAGCTCCCTCAATCTAATAAAGGACATTGACCAAAAAAAAAAAAAAGCCAACTTCACATGGAAGTATGAAACATTATACTCTTCTCCTTAAGTCAGGAATAAGATGAAGACACCTGCTGTCAGCACTCCTATTAAATATTCTGCTGGAAGTCCTGGACAGCAGGCAAGAAAAGGAAATGAATGACATAGAGTTTGGAAAGAAAAAACAAATAGCATTCTTCTTTGAAGATTATATGATGTGCACCTATGAAACCCTATAGAACCTATAAATACACACAAGCCACACACACTCAAGTAATAAGCATTTAACAAGGTCACAGAATTCAAGTTCAGAATATCAGTTGTATTTCCAAGTACTAGCAATAATCAATTTGAAAATGGAATTTAAAATGCTGTTCACAATAGTGTAAAAAACTTGAGACCTAGGAGTGAAGCTAACAAAATATATCTGAGGTCTGTCCCGTGGCTGCCATGACAAATGACTATAATTTACTGGCTCAAAACAACAGAAATTTATTGCCTCACAGCCCCGTAGGTCAGAAGTCTGAAATCATTAGTAATGGCTTAGTAATTAATTACTGGGATGAAATTAAATTGTCAGTGGGGCCACGCTCCCTCAGAGGGTGCAGGGAAAATCCATCCCTTTTGCCTCTTTCAGCTTCTGGTGGCTGCCAGCATTCCTTGGCTTATGGCTGCATCATTCTCATTTTTAACATCAATGTCTTCCAGTCTATCTCTGCTCTGTCTTCTTCTTATTGCCTTCCCCTCCATGTCTGTGTCATTTCCCTCTACCTCCCTTTTATGAGGATGGATGCACATGATTGCACACAGTACCCAACTGGACAGTCCAGGATAATCAACTTAATCTTATCTGTAATGTTCCCTTATTTCCCCTTTGCTATCTAAAGTAACATTCATAGGTTCTGAGAAGTATGATCTGGTATCTTTGAGGGCCATTCATTACTCAGCCTACTGCACCTATGGACCCTACATAAGCTCCTATAGACGTATGGATCAAAGTCACGGTCCACAATATCAGAATACAAAACAATTATATTTCTAAATACTAGCAATAAATACTTTGAAAATAAAAACATCATTTTCAGTAACAGAAAAAGATCTAGTATCTAGTTATAAAGCTAACACAATATACCTAAGACCTTTATACTAAGAGCTACAAAATATTGTTGAGAATAATTAAAGATGACTTAAATGAATAAAAAGATACATCATAGTTGTAATACTCATGGGCTATAATACTCAGTATTTCTAAGATTCAATGCAATCTCCATCAAATCTTTAGCAAAAACCTTTTAGCAAAAACTGACCAGCTAATTCTAAAATTTAGATGGAAATGCAAAGAATTGAAAGTCAAATATCTTGAAAAAGACGAAAAACTTGGAGGATTAAAATTAGCCAATTTACTATAAAGCCACAGTAATCATCGTGGTGTGAAATCTGTATAAAGACAGATAAACAGACTAACAGAAAGGAACAGAAGATCCAGACATAGACATATACCTATGTTGTCAGTTGATGATAAAGTTATTAAGTCAACTCAGTAAGAAAAGGAATATACTTTTAACAGACAGTGCTAGAATGCGAGGCTATACATGTTAAAAAAAATCTTAAATTCTAATTCACTCAACACACAAAAAAGTGATCTGAGTTGGTTCACAAACCTAAACGTGGTAACTATAACCTAAAGATTCTTGAGGAGAGCGCCTAGGAGCGTGTCTTTGCGATCTCGCAGTAGGTAAGGATTTATTAGAGAGGACACAAGCAGCACAAATCATTAAAAAAAAAAAGTGTAAACTAGGCATCATCAAAATTAAAAAAAAAAATCTCTGCTCATCAAGGACTCCCTTAAGAAAATCAATAGGCAAGTCCCAGACTAAGAAGAAGTAGTCACAATCCGTGTATATGACAGAGAAACCAAATGCAGGATGGATTTAGAGCTCCTACATGCAGAAGACAACCAAGCCAATAAAAAGATGGGCAAAAGCCTTCAACAGTATTTTCCAAAAGAAGTTAATAGAATGGCCGATCAGCAAGTGAAAAAGGTGCTCAAATCACACTTATCAGAATATGCAGATTAAATTACAATAAAGTACTACTTTTGGCCAAAATTTAAAGACTACTAATACAGATGCTGGGGAGGTTCAGGACAGTCCTGTGTGTTACTGGTACTGGTACAAAGGGGTACAACTACTTCGGAGTACTTTCTGAGAGATAAAGTATGAAAACATATCTACCTAGGGCTTGGCAAGCCTACATCCAGGTATTTAAACCAAGATAAATGAGAACATATGTTTACGTCAAGACGTGTACACAGGCGTTTGTAGTTGTCTTACTCATCGTAGCCTCAAGCTAGAAATGCTCATGAGCTGGAGGAGGGTAACCATTTGGCAGTACATTCATGCAAAGAAATGCCACTCAGTTAGAAACATAAACACCCCAGTGACAGATGCTACGAGGTGCATGCACCTCAGAAACCTTGTAAGACACACAGGAGAGAATACAGTGTAGGATTCCACTTATTAAAGTTCCAATACAGTAGAAGCGGATCTCTGGTGGTGGAAATCAGAAAGTGTGTCCCACCTCATGCAGTGTGGTGGGGGGACTGAATGGAGAGGAGGACCGGGAGTTTGTGAGAGGGGGAAAGCGTTCCACATCTTGTCTGCAGTGGTGGTTACACCGCTGTCAAAACTCATAAACTGACACGATCTGTGCACTTCATTCTTCTATGCAGGTTGTATCTCAATTTTTAAAAACTGGTTTCATCAGAGTCTGTTTATAATACAGAGTCTTAGGCCCTACTCCGAATTTAAAGTCTTCAGGAATAATCTGAATGCATATTAAATGCTGAGAACCAGTGCCAAGGGGATTCGAGATAAAGCGGGACTGCCGCTTAGGTGGTTCTGTCTAGAAATGGAGAGGGACCTTTTCTTAATTAGACATAGAAAAAGACTTACTTTTGCACGAAAGTGGATGATAACACGTAACAAATGTTCTTCCTTGTGCCAGAAAGAAGACGATGTTCCAGGGAACCAAGGAGCCAATTCTGTAGGGAGACAGGGATGAGATGAGACGCTGGTCCTGTGGGACTGAAAGGGGGTGGGGCACCCGACTCAGCCACACTCTGGGCTAAACCTTGTGGGCTGGCCTGGGACTCAATCACCATTCATCTTAATTGCAAGTTTGAGACAATGCCTTCCGAGTTCCCGGCAACTGACTTACAGATGAAATGGGAAACACAGCCAGTTTATAAATTGAGGACAGCCTGTACTGAAAAAAACTTTTTTTTAAATCCTTATTTACATGACAATTGAGAGAGAGGGAGGAAAGAACGTGGTGGAGTATAGATCCGCTGAGTGAGGAAAATGAGTCTACTGCAGTTCTGTAAGCTAGCTCTCACCAGCAACAGTGGCCACATCTCGCTAATGCTAAACGCCTCTCCCTGCAAAATCCGTTCCCCCTGCACGAAGGAAGCACGGTGGAAGGCTGGCTGCTTTGCTTTTCACCCAGACCTGCAGTGAAGTGGACACACTCCCCGGTAACTGCAGTGATTTCCTTCCCTTCTCAGGTATAAGATGGGCAATGGGTGATAGCAGAAAACAAGCTATGGTCTTTGAGGCCCAAGCTATGAACATCAGAACTGGCTAAAGTTTTCCCCTGGGCGGAATTTTCAGCCTTTGGTTTGCCTTAAGGAATTTCATCCAGAAGACCAGCATTTTCTACAGTGGTGGGATCAAGAGGCTGTGCTCAGATCTTGGTTTTGTGGGACAGACAAGAAGGAAGATTAGGTGGAGCAGGACTGAGACCCACCAGCACCTGCAGGTGGATTTTAAATGACCCCAAACTAAGAGGGGGGATGGGGAAAGAACACTCCAGAAGTCTCTTCCTCCTTTGAGGGGAAATTATCTGACCTTGGTAGGCTGTTCTTGTAAGTCCAGTAGCCTCCTGGGTCATTCTCCACACGGTTGTCAGGGGATGCTGTAAGCCACAGGTGTGATCATGTGACCCCGCCGTCCAGTCCCACCCATCTGCTGAGTGTTGGCAGGCTGCTGAGGGGCTGAGAGTGAGTTCTGGGCTCCAGCCTCTGCACCACCACTTACTAGCTCTGCAACTATGGGCATATTATGTAACATTGCCCCCCCCCCCGGCTTCTCCTACTGATACCTCAGTTTCCTCTCTTCAAAACTCATTTCATGCTATTGACCACAAAAGGTCTGAACAAAAGATCTGCACAGTACCTTCCACACATCTGCACAGTACCTGCCTACCTGAAATCGGTGAGAAGCGCCACAGAACAGGGCCCCTGCCTGAGTCGCCTTAGTCTAAGCTCAGACCCAGGAGGACGCATTACTGGTAGCAGAGGGGTCAGGGCAGCTGGTACAAACAGGAGCAGTAGATTTAATGGGAGAGTAGAAATATTATGCCACTAACATCGACAACCATAGCCAATACTTAATCGCTGTGCTAAGCGCTTCCCTTATGTGATCTCATGTAATTCTCACGACTGCTTTAACGGGTATTTATCATAAGAATCCTCATTTTACAAATGAGAAAATGAGACAAAGAAAAGTCAGGTATTTTTCACGATGTTAGCCCTTCAGGAATCGGAAGCTCTGGACTAGCCACTAGCTTGGTGGCATGGATAACATATAATTCCTTATCTTCTGCAGGTGGTCAACACAAGGGTAGAATTGTAAAATTTCCTTCTTTTAAGACAATATACATACTGTGAAATGCCCAGATCTTTTTAAAAATGTGGTTAAACATGCATAACGTAAAATTTACCATTTGCACCATTTTTTAAGTGTGCAATTCTCCAGCCTTAATTAAGTACATCACATTGTTGGAAATGCACAGATCTTAAGTATACAACTTGATGGGTTTTGATAAAAGTATGTATCTGCAAAATCAGCATCTCTCTCAAGATACTCACATTTTTATCAGGAAGGTTTCCTTATGTCCCTCAAGGGTAAAATTTAAATAATAACTTTTTCCCCATTATATGTTCTTTTGCACTCAAAATATTCATAAATAGAGAAAAGTAATAGAAAATGAATCACCTGCAGAGGTAAGTCATGGTCTGTCCTGATACACTGAATTCTTAACTGAACCATGACACATAAAGAAATAAAATTCAGAAGAAGTAAGATGCAGCTAGAAATTTCTTATATGGTACCAGGGGGGTTCTTGGGGGTCCTGTCTCACCCATCTCTCCCACCCAAGTTTAAAATACTGTAGAGTCAGTGAGCCCACTAGTCCATGACTCCAGGCTTTTCTCACCTGGAAGGGTCCTCATTCTACACGGGCTGCTGAGACCACCCATTTTTGGATGTATTTCCAAGGAGAACAAGGCAGTCACCAGGGGACAAAGTGGGTTCACTGCACCATCTGTCTCCAGTGAAAATCACCTTAGGTAGGTCTGAGGTGCTGCTGGCTATGTCCTAGAACCTGGATGAACTCTGTTTCTGGGCCAGACTCACCTGGTGCAGTTGACAGTGGTGGCCAGAATGGACTTGAGGTTTAAATGGGGTCGTGGAAGAACCAAAATAATGGTGAGACATGCCCTCACGACTGAGCAGGTTCCACACGTGCCTAGGACATCAGAGTGGCCTTAAGGAAGCACTTAAAGGCGGGGAGGGTGTAGCTCAGTGGTAGAGTGTGTGCTTAGTATGCATAAGGTCCTGGGTTCAATCCCCGATACCTCCATTAAATAAATAAATAAATAAACCTAATTACCTACCCCCAAAAGTTTTTTTTTAAGGAAGGAAGCTCCTCTGTGACTGTGCTGGGGCAGGCAGGGATGGAGCTGTTAGGAGATGTGGCATGGTGGATGTACCATGGATTTGGACTCTGGCCAGTGGAGCTGGGGGCTGGGGCCCGGGGCCAGTGGTGGCTCTAGGCCAGCTGGGCTGCTCCAGTGTTTCTCCTCAGCCATGCTGGGCATTGTGGCTGTCTCTGTGCATTTCCAGAGTCTTGGTTTGGCCTCGCCCAACAGACCCTCCATCACTATCCAGGTGTGCCGCCCTGACACGCCCCAGCCTGCCTCAACCCATCCCTGACTGCTGACGTTAGAGCCGCGGGTACAGTCGGGAACAGCGACTGCTTACTGGTAGTATAGTCCAGCCTGCTTCTCAGGGCTCCCGCCACCCGATGGCCCCTCTGCGGGATCTCCACTGTGAGAGGTGACCTGTGGTTACTTGAAAAGCTGCTTTTCTCTAGAAGCAGGTGATCCAGGGTGTGCTGACCCAGTGAGGGTGAAGGCGGCTTATCTGTGCCACCACCTCCTCCAAACAAATTTACCAAAATATCAGAGCAATTGCAACCAGGGGTTCGACCATGACTGCCACACCTATCTGGCTAGAGTCAGCCTTAGGATCCCAACGGTGAGTAAGAGGGCTGCTTCCAAGAGGTAAGGGGGAGATGCTTCAGTCATCTGCACCTAGGAAACCAAGCGCTCGTCCAAATCACCCCCTTCACAAGTGTGTGCTTTTGGAGGACGCCAACCCCAGGGGTTCGTGGTGGGGAGGGATAAGCTAGGGCGTTGGATGCAGTGCCTGTTCCTCTTTGATCATGAAGGCACATCCTGCAGGAGGCTCGAAGGAGGATCTGAGGCTGAGACTCCGGGTCCCGGTCTGCAGGCTGGGCTGCCCTGTGGAGCCTGTGTCAGTGAACTGTGCACGGCTGCAGGGGTAAGCAGAGTTGCTGGCATGGCTGATACGGTGCTGGCTCTGTAGGGACCACACTTGCTCTAGCTCCACGGCCTCAAGCACTCCTGATGGAGTGTCCCAGTGACACTGCACGTGTCCTGCCAGACAGTCCATTATCTGCTTCAGTGTTCCTTAACCCATTTGTTGGGGCTGTTCAGCTGAGTCATTTCCTTTGCCAATGTCTGAGAGCATCTCTCGATGTACTGGTGACCGCATCACCCTCCCACGTGTACTGATCTCAGGAGGTGCTGGGGGTCAGGACCTCACAGCCTGAGTTATTCAGCGTGAAACTGCCATACTGGGCTTATGTCCCCAGAGAAGGTGACTGGGGCAAGCCCTGTTCTCCTCAGCTGCCTCTTCCTTGGATGACTTTTGAAATCCGATTTCTGAAAGTTTTGGTTTTGAGTTATACAGATATTTTTGGATGCACACTTAGTCCTGGAGCAGTTTCAGCAGAGAAACTGGATGGTTCAAACTCGTATCATGGTTGGCACAGAATTCCACAGAAATTTTCTTGAGAAAGTTTTCTATGTCATCCTTAAAGAGCAAAAGAAATCTGAACCTGTAATGATAAAGAATACGAAAAAGAATATATATACACACACATATATATAACTGAATCACCCTCCTGTACAACAGAAACTAACTCAACATTGTGAATCAACTACATTTCAGTAACAAAAAATCTAAAAAAAGAGATATCTCCTAAATTTAATGTTCATTTTCTAATTTATTTATAGGACCTGAGTGGGGCAGATAAGTTACCTTTACCGTTTCTTAATGTCAGTCCTGGAAATAAGGGGATAGGTATGAGACAGTATCATCAATATCATTAAAAAATTGTCCATGTTTTCTACCACGAGGACTGTAGGGTTGACTGTTCTTGGTCTGAGACAATGGGAGACTCCAGACAGGCTCCAGATGTTACAGGTAAGGTAGAATCAGCCATCCTCTAGGGTCATTTGGAAAAATCCTCGTGCTTCAGTCTTATAGCGTGCGTGGTGATGGTGGTGTGCGCAGGGGGATGGCCAATGTGGACTCCCAGGGGACTGGGAAGTTGGCCGGTGGGGGGACTGGGATGGTTTTTTTTAGCAGGTCAACTTGGCTTGGCTGTAGCTCTGTGTTTCTATGACACACTCATCTACACTTTTTTGTGGTGGGATTTTGCAGATGGAATTAAGTTCTCTAACTGGTTGACTTTAAGTGAAGGAGATGCTTTGGGGTAATCTGATTGGGCCTGACTTAACTGGTGGAGACTTTACGAGCAGCAGGGAGGCTTTCCTGAGAGAGGAGGAATTCCTGTCCTGTATAGCAGCTTCAAACTGTCCTGGCGGGATTCCAGCCAGCTCATTCTGACATCCTCTTGTGCATCTTCACGTTTATTCTTTTGTAGCTATCATCACATTTCCAACTGTGATTTTCTCTTTTATATGGATTCTTACTTCTTTTCTATTTAGAGAAGAGCTTTCAAGGTATATTTTAGGGTAAGTTTGGTATTGCTGTATTCTTTTTGTTTTTGCTCGTCTGAGAAGTTCTTTATCTCTCTGTCTATTCTTGATACTCCCTGACATGTGGCTATGATGAAATAGTCTGAGTATTGCCTATAGTTTGATTCTAAAATCTTAAGCTCAATTAAGTAGCATTTAGAGACTTGGGATGGTGTAAGTCTTCCCTATTGCAAGGTTAGGTGATGATATTGAGGCCATAAAGACATGTGACTCTATGTAACCAATCTTCCGACACTGGATGGAGACCTTTCCACATATCCCATGCATTCTTTGCTCATTACCTTTCCTCAACCATTTATTTCTTCAAGGTAAATTCCAGTCATGCTGCTTTTTGCTCACCATTTTGTCCTCATGTTTTTCCTTCTTAACTCTTTTTTATAGTAGTTCTAAAATTCTTTGTAAGGTTGGACATGTAGCAAAGGTCAAAACTCAGAGCAAACACATAAATACAAAGACCTGGAGTGGGCTATGGGGCTCTACACTGGGCAACTATCTAAAGAACAGTTGGGATGACTGGGAATATGAGTGTGAGGTGCTGAGGGGAAGAAGGCAAAGTTTATGGTAATGCTGGATCAGCATAACAAACACAATTGGGAAGGAGAGAAGGCAGCTTTGCCCAGAAGAGGAATATGCAATGCACCTCAGTGCACAGAGGACCCTGTTATACACATGGCGTCTGCCTCATATAACAGAGAATATGTGCTTGTTCCCCACAGTTATCTGAGAGCTCCTAGGAGTCAGTGTTTAGGTTTGATTTCAGTCCTTACCCTCCCCCCCCAAATCCCATCATCCATCCTCCATTCTTCTGTCCTCCACCCCTGACCCGGACCCCTTCTCTGTCTCA